CTGATATTTTCATTACGCCATCTCACTGTTTTGTTATTGTAATACAATATAAAGAATGGGTATTGTTTAGTTATTAATTAATTACACTCTCTAGAAAGTACATAACGGTTGTTGTTTGTGGGTTTTGATTCTCAGTTTTGTTTCTTTTTTCCCTCTGTTTTAACAACATCATGATGAAGGACGAAAGGAAAATGGCAGCTGATTTTAATCAGATTGGTGTTCTATATGTAGGCTATGCATATAATTGCTACAGTGGTGTTGAGTGTGTTAAGGTTGTTTAAATAATAAAGATCACGGTAAATGATGTGGCGACAGTGGGATGTGTACTAAAATAATAATCACAGCTACACGTGGCAGGGAATGCTACTCTTTTCGAAACATCTCTAAAAGATGTGTAGTCGTGCGTTGTATTCACAGTTTTGTATTTAAATCGACAGAGGTTAAATTTTGGCATTTTCACGTGGTCTTTATATGCTTTGCCTTCAAGCTCAAACTCCAGTGGTATTAATAACTTATATATATCTGAAAGAAACAATTCTACAGTCGGTTAGATTTAATTTTAAGTAGCCATTGAAAACCGAAGTATTTGTCCATTTAAATCAACATTTATGTTGGGATCTTACCAGGAAAAGGTGAGCTTCTGATATCCAATATTTCAGACAAAAAAAAACATTTTACCATTGGTACACGAGTCTTGCACCATAATGCGTTTCAGTGCCATTTGTAACAATGGATTCGAAGAACGAGGCTAGAGACATTCCACAAGTCATGTCAAACGGTGATGCTATATTCTTATCTGGAGAGAGAGAGAGATCGGGTTTAACGTCCACTCGACACAAACTAGGTCATTTCGGGGCCTTATCTGGAGAGCACGCGCAAATACTATTGGTGTAGCCTGGAATAACCAGATGCTACAGATTGCCATTCGATTTAGACTTCTGGCGTATTTCACCAAACATAACTGATTTGAAATTAGAGTAAACACCGAAAGGATTGAATTTACACCATTTTATATACATTCATATTACATTTTTATATGCGTTGCGACCCATTTGTGTCAATTTCTAGATCCCAAATATTAGCGATTTAGCTCCTTTAAATGGAATGAATAATGATCGAGATGCCTGTTATGTAAACAGTTGTCTAAAGGGTATACACGGAGAATTATATAGATCATGTGACATGGTAGATTTTATTATAAATAATAATTTACTTTATTATAAACATGACAATAAACATAGAGATTCTTTAACTTGACAAAGGGCGCAGTCATTATTGAACTGATATAATTGACACCGATTTCAATCCTTGAATAGATATCGACACAATAAAGAAAAACTTGAGACCTACACTAACTGTTTGGATAGTAATGTAGCCCATTTAATAGGTTAGGCCAATGCCCTGAGAAAATACATAGGCCCCTACACGCCTATTGGGTGAATAAATAATTTAATGGAAACGTATATTTTCGCATGGGCAGTGGGGGTGTCATTGAAGACATTGCATCGGTTGAAATAGTTTGCTCTGCCCTCTTTTATTTCAAAATAAATGTTAGGTTGTGTTGTACTATCAACCAGGAACCAGTCATCTTGGATTTGTTACGTCATATTAAAAATTGAAGTTCGTTAATCGATGCGCAATTGGCCAAAGAGCGAGCATGATAAGTTTCATATCGATCGTCCACGTATTAGAAGACACTTTCTTTTTTTCTAAAGAGCGTCGCCCTGAGTAGAAGAGTCAAGTGCATATGGAAACAGTCCCTAGTTAAAAAGATCCCGCTCACAACCACCCACTCAAATACCGACGATAAAACTGTCAAATAAACTTATATTTACAGATACGCTTGAATAAACTGTATGAGAAGTTTAAATTTCGGATAATATGCACATATAAGATCGGTTTGAACGTTCAAAACATTACTTTTACCTAGAAATGAATATACCACTTTTATGGAACACTGATCGTTAAATAAAACGGAGAAATGGAATTTATAAATTAAGATATTTAAAGTAGGCTTACTGGTGGCATTATAATTGCTGAAAACTAAAATAGAATAAATTGTCAAGTTTTGTCAGTAGATTAATTTTTATGTCATATTATGTGAAGGTTTACTTATTTATAATATTTATAATATTTTAGAATGCATTCACTTTTTTAGACTTCATATTTTCAGTAGAATTTAATTACACTCTAGTCTATTCCACTTGTCAAAGTTCAAACCCGAGAATTATGTATGAGATTATTTTGGGGCTCACCCTGTCATGGTGATTAGCCGAATGATCGGTTAGTGTGTCCTGACAACAACGTCAAAACATAACGGTCAAATCTTATTACGTAATGGGTCATTATTACAAGTAATTATTGCTACTAAACATTAGATTAACTAATAATTACCTATTGAGTAATTGATATAGGTGTACACTGTATCGTATACATGTGTATTTCTTTATGTTAGCAAGACTCGCTGGTAAGAAATGTGAATTAGCATTTCTATGAAAGTTGTTAAATACGATAACAGGGAAAATATTTATAGCACATAGATTACATGGATAACATAGATTCAAAGTTTGGATTGAAAACGCAAGGATTTAAATCTGGATATTACCGCTAAAAGAGGTAAGGTATTCAACTAAAAGACACTATTTTGAGATGTTTATAAAATACATAAATGAACTGGTCAGCATCTTAAATAAAAGTCAAATGACAGAGGTATCCGTTACGGCATAATAAGTCCGCACGGTATATTTCATGTCTATGCTATGGCCATGGGTCGGATTTAATGTACCGTACTGGTATACTTCGGTCATTTCAGACTATCATACATGCGGAGTTTTGTTATTCTAATGATTATCTGTGCAATGGTGGTCAGGCTCTAGCTGACATTCCACATAATTATAGGACTACTCTTCTTCGCTTTGAAGTGGTTGCCATTCATTCTTTTGGGCGCACTACCGGTACCGAAAAGGGTTTTACATATAGCCGCGACGTTTTCCTATTATTTTCAAATGCATTATTATTATCAAATTCTTAATTAATGTTCCCATTTACCTACGGTTTACCACTCTATTATTTTATCCTCCTATTAAACTATTCAGCCATTTCTGTACCGTAATTTAGAAGAAGGAAGATCCAATTAATAAGAATAGACTTTGTCGGTAGATGTTAGGAATACGATAGCCTACAACTTTTTGGGAATTATTCCCTTATTTCTTGAGAAGCTTCCCTTATTGGTGTTTTTATTTTCCATTTTGCGCGAAGTCTTTGACTAGCCCCCGGAATCATTCTGAAATTTCGTTTAAATTGGGAATACACATGTATTTTTGTAGTAGTAGAATAATCAGAGAGGTACGGTACCACCTTGATAAGGGGTGATTAATTGCTGTGAAACAGATTGGTACAGTGATAAGTTTGGGAAGATGTCAATGACGTCATTGTTTTCATTACGAGGCTAATAAAGATGGTGGGAATGAATTTGTTTGCAAAATTAACTTCAATCATTCTTATTAATAAAGAATTATACTAGAAGTCTTCGGTTTCGGTCAACGACGACGCAAAAGGTTTTACCAATTAAAAACAAATTTTAATTTGAATTATCAGTTAGCTAGAGTGGATAGTCTAGATATTGTTAATGCTATTTATTAAACTTTGAAGATCGAAGACGTCGTCTGCTGCTGTGCTAGCAGTAGGCTAGCACTCGCGTGTAAAAGGCCTTCGGTCGGTTACTCACAGTAAGCATGTCTGTAGGCTCGGCCTAGTCTAGTTGCCTACCGACCTAGATAAGGCCAAAGGACGGGCTATATAAATTATAGCCTACTTAACTGCTAGTAGTATAGGCCTAGCCTAGGCCTACATAAACATTGTTTTCTGATTTTTGGCCATAATTAAGTTGGCATATTTGCACTGTAATATATGGTGTAGGCCTACTGCACCACACATAATTTACACAGAAGCAAATACATGGACAAGACAGCATACTCAGTAACCGCAAATAAACAAACAATTTAAAAATCCGGGGGGGGGGGGGCTAGACTGGATAAAAATATTGTCAATGAACAAATACAATGATTCATTTGATAGCCATAAAAAAAAAGGATTCATATTGAATTTCAAAAATTTCTAATTCTAGATTTTGAATGTGTTTCACAGTTACTGTACTTTAATTTCTTATGACTGTTGTTAACACTTGTGAAGAGGATACGGTCAAAAATGGCAGTGGTCCAGTGGACTTTGAAAATGTAATTGGGATTTTTCATTCAGTCATTGGGGCAGAAAGTTGAACCCTTTTAAAATAATATATATTTCGATCATAAATCAAACAGTTATCTCCCCATATGTTTCCAGTTATTGGTCTATTCAACTTTTGACTTCTATTTTTAATGTTTGTGAATGCGACAGCGGTACAAAGCTTTTTAATTTTTTAAAACTAGTGAGGTTTTGTTGAGCAGTGCTGTGTTACCTGACAATGCAACAACATTTTATTTTATTATTTTATTCCTGCTAATCTTTATTTTTAAGATCACTAGCCTTTCTTGTTAAGTCATGTGTGTAACTTATTAACTAATAAAAGCTTAATTTATAATATGGAGATTAGTGGTTTAGCTGTGTTATGTCATTACAATAATTGAAAAGAATACAAACTAAGTAATGAGCTATTTCAGTTACATCTAGCATAATCTTGTGTTTCTGCCTACAATCTCATTAAGGCTTATTGTCAGCAATTTTCAGTAACTAAGGATTTTAATTTGTGATAAAAGAGAAGTTTATTTAAATTAGTCCCCAAAATGATAATGGATTATGGTATGATTTCTTTATTTTATGCTAATATTTTTATCATTAGTTATTAGCAAAAAAAAGTGCTGTAAGCTTGCTGCTTGGATGTTGGTTTTCTTTCTTTTAGTGCTCTTTATTATGAATCAATGTCCATGCAATAATATTTGATTTTAAAATTAATGTAATGAATGAATTTAAACATTTACGAATTGTCTATTTTATCATTTCAGAACGTGCATTATTTCCTGTTGTGGATTATGAGATTATAAAATGTATCACTTTACAAATTTTAGTCGGGGATATGTTGCAGAGTTTTTTGTCAACGAATCAGATATATGTAAAAGCTGGCTTTTACTGCCAGCAGAAAATCTGTGGCCAGAATGGTTGAGGGGTGTTCTTTACATTGCTGCATTAATATATCTGTTTATGGGAATAGCTATTGCTTCAGATGTATTTATGTGTAGTATAGAAGTCATAACCAGCAAAAAGAGAATCATTTCGTATTATGATAATGAAAAAGGCCAAAATGTTGAACGTGAAGTGTTACTATGGAATGAAACTGTGGCAAATCTGACATTAATGGCGCTTGGCAGCAGTGCCCCTGAAATTCTCCTAGCTACAATTGAAACAGTGATAAACTTAGGAAGTGAAAAACAAGAAGATGCCTTGGGTACATTCACTATTATTGGAAGTGCAGCATTCAATTTGTTAATTATCACTGCAATTTGTGTTGTCAGTGTAGATTCCCCAGACATAAAAAAAATTCGTGAATTAGGAGTGTTCGTATTAACTTCTATCTGGTCAATATGGGCTTACGTATGGATGTTATTGGTAGTTTCATATATAACTCCGGGTGTAGTTACACTTTGGGAGGCATGGGTGACTTTAGCCTTTTTCCCAATATTTGTTATTATGGCGTATCTTCAAGATCATGGATGGAGCTGTGCTAAGAAAGTTGAAGGCATTGAAAATGAAGATGATGACTCTGGAGTAAGTACACTATGTCCCGAAATATGTGATTACATCAAGATCTACAGTTCCATTTGATGTGGACATGCCAATGGAATTCTTTCCAGATAGTATCCACACAGTCCTGACAATAATAATATTTATTTTCATTTTATTTACTTTTTGCTTTTAAATTCTCACTTTATCATACAATTTATGATATGGTTCAAATAATGCTGTTGATTGCAATTGATTATTTATTACTGACAGAATGTGAGTGGTTGCTGAGGAAAATAGTCTCTTTACACAGACTTATCAGAGTGTCATGGCAAATAGTGATGCGATTGAGATGGCTATGGTACATATAGTATCATTTTCATGAGTTGTACTATGGAAACAATAACTTAGGAACCCCCACCTGGATCTGCCACTGCTGTCCTCTTCTTTCTAGCCCAACCACACTTCACAAGGAGACACTGATTTCCTTTTCGTTAAACCCATTTGTGATCATGTCTCTATGAATTTTTCAGATTCGTATTGTGGATATGAATAGACATGGTTCTTTAACTGGTCATGTTCCCAAAGAACTTCAGGTATTAGAACAAGAAAGAGCACACAGAATGAGGTAAACAAATAAGTTTAACTTGTAAACTTTACCGAAGAGATGAACGTTACAGGACTGTATAACATGCATGCTACAATATTTAATATTTTTCAACTCAGTTTTAACTTTCTCAGTTATCTACTTTTTTTTAGACTTTTGTTTTACTCTATGATACTATAATCAGAGTAATAATCTTTTTGGCTAAAACACAGTATTTGTGACAAAAGTGTCTCATCACTCATCAGGGTGAAAAAATAAATTTTCTTGCAGTGCCTTGGAATTCTAAGTATCAATAGTTCAATATTTTGGTTATTAACAAATACTTTTTTGGCTTCAGCAGCAGTTAAAAAATACACTTTCTTGTAGCTTTTTAATCACTGTATGGTTATGAACACTACAACAAAATGTCGTGTCAGTCAGTAACCTTTAAATAGTGAAAAAATCAACTTCAAATTCAAATGAATAAAAAAATATTTTATATTTTAAAATTGCACATTGAAAAGTATAATATTACTGAAGATCACATTTGTATTGTAAATTTACCTTAAGATATAACGCCATGGTTACGGACACTACAGATTAGTCATCTTGCACTTTTAAGCTTTTTAATCTTTTTAATGCCCAAACATTTAAACATGTGATTCATGAATGCTATGATGCTACAATATTTCAAACATTGATCAAAAGTGAGTCTTAAAATCAATAGCCATTTGTAAGTTGAAAAGTTTTCACTATTTTCAGTGTTTTTCTACTTTTTCATGCACATAGCAAAACATGTCCACGGTGATTCTGGTAATTTGACAGGAACACATGTTTTTGTAAGTTAGTCATAACTCCCTTAATACAGTGTCTATTTGTATAATTTAACTACCAAATTTTTTTTATAGGAAATGTTCTATAATCATGTTTTTATATCCTTTCCAAAAATGTCACAGAAAATACATTAATTTGAGTTTCAAAATACAATTTATTGAAGTGAGACAGCATAACACCTAAAAATGGCTATTTTTGGGACATATTTATTGCCATAACTCAGCAACGAAGATATATTGACGTGAAATTTGGTGGTCATTAGTAGAGGTCATTATTACAAATGTTGAATATATAAGAAATGGTCTGTAAATGCTGGAAGTTGTTTCCAAACTGTAACAATATAACATCAAATAATTGAAAACTGGACAAATACTGTGTTTTACCTGTTTTCTTTCATCATATTATACTTACACATCATTCTGTTGAAGTCCTAATCTATAATTATAAGATTGATACTAATAATCACCACTTAACATTTCTTTACTTTTTAAAACACACCACTATCAATTTTCTTTTCTTATAGAGATGTCAGTTTTTTTATCCGGCAATAGACAGGGTTTCAGATATCTTATACAATTATAAGAATATCTTTTAGTAATGTTAACTTTATGTTTCAACTGACTTCTTTAGTGCAAACTGTTCCATTTTCAGTATTGCAAGTTTGAATCTTGACAAAGAAAGGTAAGTTTCTGTAGCACCCATAGCAGGTTTTTGAAGGTGGTTGAAGTTCATTTTTTTGTAGATTTTCTGTAGATATATTTTATTAAGTCTTTCATTATAAAATTCTTTCACATTTCAATTTAGTCAAATAGTCGAATATGCTTGTGTAGTTTTCTTGGTTTTGATTCTTTTGCAGTGTTTTTGGAACAACAGATTATTACATGTAGGTTTTCTTTTTCAATGTACTAATGGTAATGATTTCAGTGTCACATGTAACCTATACAAACATCTGATAGAAATTAGACCTTTGTCTTAGATTGACTAAATATTGTTTTTTGTTCAAATTAATACTTTCAACAGCACATATCAGAGTATAAGGTAGCACACTATTTTTGGAATCAAGAAATGCAGTATATTGAAGCCATATTCTTTGATTGAAAGCTTTTTTTATTTAATGCAATCTATTATTACTTAGCCAAATTAGCTACTAGCTATTAGAAATCTTTAGTATATAGGACAGATGGCTAATACAAATGTTCATAGATAAATTGGTAAATGATACTCTAGTAATTAATAAACTTTTTAAACCACTGTAGTTCTAGTAACTTTGAGTGAAAAAATTTTAAGGTCCCCGACCGTTATATTTAAAGTGGTACTCTATCTTTTTGCTTTTTGGAATTAAACAGATAATGTTACTGTCATAAAATAAACAAAACTGCTGTTAATTTCTTACTTAAAGATGCATTATGCAAAAGTTCCTGAAATGCCATTTCCTGGTCAGAAAACACTTATAACATGAGTAAAATTGAGTACTACGCTTGGGTATTCATGTTATTTATTAAGAATTTTGCAAGAACGTACAAAGTATTGTGAATCTGTGACAACTTATGAAAGTGATAATTACATCATTTACATGGACGTATATCTTCGATATACACGTATTGTTGTGGTGAATATACATAAATTTGCAACTGGCATAGGTCAATATTATAGAAAAAGTACAATCTAAGCAGTTGTGGACTTTAATTTGATGCACAATAAAATATGTGAAAACATAACCTACTGGTAAAATTGATAAAATTCATTATTTTTGCCCTGAGTGCCAAAGTAAGAGTACCTCTTTAAATTGTTTTATAAGAATAAATCTTTTTTTCTTTTGGTGTAGGTAGATAGAATAAGCTTATATTGTTGCTTAGCATGCACTGCAAGTTAGGCAGCATTTGCACTGTTTTTCTGTTTATTCACCACTGTTTACTTTGCTGTGTCTTTAGAGGTCTAGTAGAGTTGTTTTAGCTCACATAGGAAATAATAATGGAAGTAAGCACCAGTAAGTTGTATTTTAGTCAAGATTGGAATTTAATATCCTCATCTTATTAAACGTTAACTATCAGTTTGCCTTTCTGATCAACAATGTCAAAAATTGTTGCTAAGTGGTAGTTGTATTTTTTAGTATTCTTTCTCTTTACTGCTGATAACAGTGTATTATTACTACAGTACCAATATTTTCAAATTGATCAGTGCAGCTTTGTACACATGATTTTTTCAGTACTACAAACTCATTGCAATCATACCTGTATGTCATTTGTCATTCAATTATGGAAGACCATGATCTTTTCCTTCAGTACTACAAACTCATTGCAATCATACCTGTATGTCATTTGTCATTCAATTATGGAAGACCAAACAGTTATTGATAGTTGTTACTGCTTATTATCTATGTTAAAATCAGCTGTAACAATTACCATAGAAGTTAGGAATAAGGGACTTTTGAAAAAACATAATTGTTTAGTCTTCTATACAATATGTCATAAATTCAGGATATATTTAAATTGTGAGCACTTCATTAAATAGGAGATATTTTCAAAATGATTATTTAATTCAGATGTGATGGACATTAAACATTAATTATGGAATGCAAGTTCAGGACAACATTACTCATTAGATTCTTAGTACATGTTGCATTTACACAGCTAATTGTTAACAATTTATTCTTTCACAAATTAATGCACGAGTTTTCAGTAAATAATTGAGACTGCCATATGTAAAAAACTGTAAGGTTTTGAATGGATCATTATTATTTACAGTGGATTTTAATGCTATTTTAAAATTTGCCCTATTTAAGGAAGAGATTAGCAGAAAAGCTACATGGTGGACATAGTTCTCAAAATACATTAAATGAGATCACTGACAATGATTCCACACTGAGGTAACCAAGGGACATGACAACTTATACATTAACCAAAATTTTGCAGGTCTATAGATAATAACGAATTAATACTAGGGTACTAATCTTAATCTAGTAATCGCTTTATGTAATCAAACTAACAAATTTAACATAAATGATATAACCCTGACTGTGTAACTGCAACGTGAATATTATCATGTTATGACCATTAATAATACTGACATTATTCGCCTACTTGGTCAGCATGAGATATAAATAACTATTACAATTACTGAATGCAAAATCTCTTGTCTCAAGGATTTCTGGATGAGTCAGATATTGAAAGAAAATATGTATCATAAACTTACTTGAAGTCAAAATAGTTTGATTGTACATTAGTTTAGCATTAAAAGTAGCATTGATAATAGGACCAGACATTAGGATGATGAGTTAAAAAAAAAAAAGAAAATTTTTAGACGATGTGGTCGTATATTGCCATAGGTCCGGCATCCACTCTATTGAATTAAGATTTATACACAGTGTTTCAGGTCAAGCTTATTGATTTTCAAAAATTTCTTATATAATTATTGATCACTTTGAAAAATCTTGTGGATGTTCTAGAGACTAAAGTTAATATCCGATAGACTTTAAATGAACACACAGTCATGAGACGAAGAAGCCTGTTGATTTCAACAATTTCCGATAATTACTGCCTGAGTTATGGCCCTTGATCACTTGAGAAATCTTCAGGACGTTTGACGCTCTAGTGGCTAAAATTAATAGCCCATTGACTGTAAATTAATACACGGTGTTTAAGGTTAGGAGACGGAAATGTCGATTGGTTTTTCAATGATTTCTGATAATTACTGCTAGAGTTATGGCCCATGGTCACTTGAGAAATCTTGTGAACGCACTAGAGGCTAAAGTTAATATAAATTTATACACAATGTTTAGGTCATGAGACAAACAATCGAAACAAATTCTAATGATTTTTGATAATTACTTAATGGGTTGTTAGTTTTTAGTGTGTTGTAAATGCTTTCATTACTAACTGCCGGACGACTAAGCTGCTGTGGGCATATGTTTTGTTGGCTGGCAACCTATCTTTTAATTGACTTCCCTCAGAATAAACTATAGAACTTTGAATCTTGCATTGCATGACATAATTATTTATTTTGAAAAATTAGTGAAATTGTGATGATCAAATGGGTTTAAATTTGCTCTTTAGTGCCATATTCTTTTGTCTTTTTCTGAAAGTTTTGTCTAAGTATACTGAGATATATAATATAATCAATACCATATGTAGACCTACTGGCATTACAATACTCAGATTGTCACTGGTCATCAAATGTTTTATTATTTTAAGTTTTGTACATGGTAAGCTACATGTTGTCAGCACTCAGTAAACTAAATTTAGATGGACTAGCCCATTTGGTCTATTGAGTCTTTATGTTCATTTAACATGCTTATGACATTCATTCATTTATTACACAATTCCAATTGCTTCAAATTTGCTGCCATTAATAATATAGCCAAGTGTATTTGATTTCTAGATCAGCAATTGCTTGTATTTCTTTTTAATGAAACATAATTCATTTAATGTAAATAGTTGTATAACCTTACCTTTAGTTTTGAAATAAATACTTAATAAATGTATAGTAAGTGTCCCAAAAAGATACTTTTCTGACAGCTTTTAATACCTTTATTGACTTTTTTTATTTATAAGTATATTCTGCAAACAAATTAAGGAATTGAACAAATGAGTTAAATTACTTATATGTGTGTAAATTAATTGTTTTCAAGGCTGAAATCTGAATCACTTGGTGATGTGGAACTTTTTGAACCTGTTAGCAAATCGGGTATCAGTCCAGAACTTTCTGATTCTGAAAGGTACATAGTGTAGAGTAAGATGCACGTTACTTAATAATGCCAAGAATTTGGCATCTGCTTACACATATAGAGAATGATCAGACTTATAGAGAATGCTGACTGCTGTACATGATTGTTTTATTATTTACATTGTTTTATCATTGCAGCACTTTTAATTAGTTTAAATTAGTAAATATTAATGTAATATTTTTATGTGTGAAGAGAGTGATGTATTATTTTTTGAATGCTGTAAAGGTGTGAGTGATTATTATTTGTGATTTTTATGGTTAAAGATTAAAATTCTCTAGATTCATATTTATATACACATTCCCGATTTTACTTTCCACTTTGAATGTACATAGCATTTCTTTAGCTTTTACATCTACTGCTATGAAGGGGTTCTTCTACAATACAGCTCATAGAAATTTAAATTGTAAAGTGCACCTGCTTACGGTATACAAGTTGCAACCTTTTCAAACATTATAGGCCTATATGGTGATCAGAGATGTGTAGAATTGAATCTTGATCATGTAAATATCAGAGCTTTTGCTTTGTATAGCAGTGATTGTTTTTTAAGCCGCTTGATCGAGCTCGTACCAGGCATAATGGGCCGGAATCTCTATCGTGGAGAGATTTTGTCTAGCACCGGACAGCTGAAAATTGCTTTCCATATTTTATGTCATTGACAATGGTCAGAAGTCATTGTGTATGTAATAAGTTCTGGAGCTCTATAAATCTTGTACATACATGTGCCTTTTATACATGTATGAATGAAAGGAAACACTCTCCCCGAGTCCTTATGGTATACCAAACTGGGAGAGCCTTTTAAGAAGAGAGAATTTTGACTTTTGCAAATAGGAAAGCCTTTTTCATCTCACCAGACAAATATAGAAAACAATAACCATGCAAAATAAATTTATTGTGCACTCCTTGATAATGGTACATATCTGCTATGCTTATCAAAGTCTTCAAGTATTTTAGTGAGGTTGGCATTTGTTTTGGATTTGTTACCATAATGAAATCTTCTCTAAAGAATATTTTAGGACTTTGCAATATATACACCCTTTATTTCTACATTATTTATTTTTTAAGTGTTCCAAGGTAGTGGTTATTGTGTACTGTAGTGTTTTTTTAAATTGCATGTGAAAATGTGTCATTAATGTAATTGACTTAGTTTGTCACTACAAACAAGCTGATTTTTTTGACTATTTGTAACTAGTGCTATACTAGTAGAATTCTGTAATAAAGTTCAGGGCTATTTGCCATAAAACAGTAATAAACCACAAAACTTCTATTTAAAGATACATTATGTAAGATTTAGATAAAGAGCTAGATATTCTTGCTATAATAGTTCAAAAATAGATAATGCAAAATGAATATATTAAACAGTTCATTCAAATTGCTCTATTGTCAACGAAGATATTAGCATTTGAAGGTTTGACAAGATGTGTTCATTAATTACAACCACTGTACTCGGCTTCTCCATGTTTAGATTAAATCAAAATATGGCTGAACCATTCTTAAAATATCAGAGATATAAGATGTCAATACAGACTTGATTATGGTCTTGTCATGTTAAAACATGTAACATTTCAGGCCTAAAGAAACACCTGCAATAGGCAGATTTAGCTTCTGCATAATGTATGTTTAAAAAGTGTTTTTCATAATTTTGTCATTTTATATGCTTTTCCCATTTCTTTTTGCTTCTATGCCAGTCCACATTGTACATCCATTGCTTTTCTCAAAAGGTCTTTCATTTCAATCTTGGATCAGATTCTTTACCATTAATTTACCATAAACTATTAAAAATGTTAGTTTTATACATTTAATTACATGGTTTGAATGAGAACAAATTATTATACATTTATATATCTTAAAATTTCAGTACTGAAAATGTAAATGGTCATGGTCCAAGTACTCATCGTGTTGCTGTACGCAAAGCTTCCAACGAACCTCAAGTATTTGCCAGAGCAAGGTTTGTATCTTTTATTTTTCATTTACACATATTATCTCAATTCTTACTGTTTTATCTCTCTTTTTTTTTATTTGTAAAAAGTTAAAGTCTTACTTTATATTATATTAATGAAATGAAGTTTAACATCCTACTTTACTACGCCAACTAGGCTAATGTTGCGTGCCATCTTGGCAATTCTGCCTGCAAAGGACCAATTGTGAGGGTTCTATTACATGAATGCCAATGTGAACACAGGGCTTTAATTTTTAGCCCAATCTGAATGACTAGATGCCGCATCTCTCCAATTGTCATTATTGTTTTGGTAAGGGATGTTCAGTATAATCCATTATACTGTAGCAATAATTGTCGTTCAAGCTTGACTTCCATATTAATAATGGATTTTATTTTCGTATAGAATGATGATAGTAAACAAAAAGTTTTACAATAAATTTATAAAATGCAGATAGAGAAAAGTTTGCATGTTGAATAACTAGTGCTATTATGGTATTAATTTAGAATATAGATAGATAGATAAGTGTTTTGAAATTATATGGATTTAACGTATATGATACATACTGCTGTGTTACGGTTCAGTTGCCAGTCAGATTGTACTCAATATGCGTAAAATCAATTATTAGCTGATTGATTCCAAGTAATTATTGACAAATATATCACTCCGGCGGAAGAGGACATTAAATTAATCTATTCAAACACACAAGTGATTATTAAGCAGGACAGTCGAGCAGTTCATTAGTTAAAATTTATTCTGAAAACATGATTTACAATCCCTATATTATTATCGGATTTGAAGGACTTTATTTAAACCTTGACCAAAGTGAGAATAAAGAGGCACATTGAATTTGTTTAAAATTCAGCTGTATTTATAAATATGTGACTGGGGTGTATTTATAAGAAGTCTTATTTGTAGCCTTCTTTATTTTGCCCTACATTCAATTTAATTTTAACTTTTACAAAAACTACATTGAAAATGTCAATGAAATGAAAATATTGTATGGTGTTTCCTGGGAATTGTTACTAACCTATTTTGAATACACAAAGTGTATGGCTCCAAAATAAAATACTACATATATGTTTCTTTCTTACATACTGTGGGAGTATTCAAGGAAATGAAACATGAAAGACATTGATACTCTGAATTACCTGTATTATTATAATAATTAGTATGGCAGGTGATATTCAGTTAGGTCTTGTTTTTATCATATATCACAAATTATCTTCATTATAAAAATAATTACGTAATAACAGCAAGTTTCGACTACAAAATGCACTTTCTCATGATAAATTATCTTATTATGCTGTCAGTCAGTCAGGATCCATTTTACTTCAATACAGACATCCCCCCCCCCCCCCATTGATAATATTTTTTTACACAAAAGTAGCCAAGCTATACCAGTACATGTAATCATAAATAGAACATTGATGGGTTATGTCTAGACTTAGTGAACAAGAAAAAAATATATTATTGTTTCACAGAATGTTGATTTTAGAAACTAAAGATTAATTATTGTAAAGTGTTCATATTTTAGAAGTAGGCGAGAATCTCAAATGCAGAAAATCAAAATAATAAGACAAGAATGATTTAAAACACTTATTAGTATTTTTACAGTAAACCAAGCACAAATTATTTACTTTCCTTTTTTTAGTTTTTAAATAGTCTCTTATTAGCAAATATCTAGTTTTTCCCATAGATTCAAATCACTTGTTTGCCATATTACATTATGTATAAAGACAATCCATTTTTTTCTTCTGACTCTAGTGAGAACAGATTCAGGTATGGTAATAAACGGTTACTTGGTAATGGGTTGGTAGTAGATGGTTGAATTGTCTAGACACATTTTTTATCTTGTTTTTTTTTCTGATTTCTTTATATATATATATTTCAATAGATGGAGTGGCTTTTTTGCTTCATTCCTATATTACTATTAGTTTTCTTCTACCTTTATAAAAAATAAAGTTTCAGCTCCAAGTCTCCACCTACATTTCCTGAGTGAGTGATCTGTGAATCCCTAGATCCGTAGTTTTATATACTCATAGTTCGGTTATATTGGATGCATGCTAATTGAATACTGCATAGAGACAATTAGATGTTATAACATACTTGTTGTCCTTGTATGTTGAATAAATCAATTGTATTGGATGATGAATATTATACAGTATTATATAACCGTACATAAAAAAATAATTTGAGATGCCCTATTTGCTTGATGAGATATTGTTGTTGAATTAGTTAGATACATTGTATATGGAGCAAATTAGCCAAAACTGGGATATTGATTTTAAAACTTCATGATTACTAAGTCAAGAATAACATCTTTACATATTGTAAAACAAAGGTCGTTCTTCAAAATTTTATAATAAGTTAAAACTAAATAATTTTCAAATTCATATCAGTAGTGTCGACCACTCCCACTCTAAGGATACCTAAATTTTTTCGGAAAATTAATTACATATATGTGTTGAATGCATACATTGTATGGTACCTGAAAATTTAGAGTAAAAAAACTTTTTATAAGTTAAAAATCAAAATCGAACATTTTGCATGTCATGCATGTAGGGTAGTCTTTAAACAGAGACTATGGTGTACTCTTGTTATTGTAATATCAGTATTGCACTTGGAACATTTTGTCAGTTGATCAAAAAAGCATGTTATTGTTTTAAGTTTTCTAGTTGTAGTAATCTACACCAATAATGATAGAATAAATTCATGTATAGAGTCTTATTTCCTTACATCTTCACAAGATAGATTATAACGATTGATCAATTGCAATGATATCGTATTTTAGGTTTTTGTTAAATCAGGCTTTCAATTTCACTAATTCATGAACACTTTCAGTTTGCACATCCATCAAATTAGAACTAGATTGAATAATATGCTATTAGAGTAGACTGAATAAATACATGGTTGTCATTAATTTATAATTTACATCATCTTTATTTTGCAGATTTCGTCATGCTGCAGTAAGTGCTTTGATGGGTGGAACTGTCAGTCATACAAGCCACAGTCATTCTAAGTTACCCCATTTAGTGGATGTTGTGGCTAAGATGAGAATCCTCAATGAAGCATCTAAGTTAGGAAAAGCCCCTGAAGGTAATTATCATCAAATATAGACTGTATGATTAATTGAAATGGTAGACATAGTGTTGGGCTTCAAAAGAAATAATAATTTTAACACATAATTGAAATGATTAAAAGGTTTTGGTGCTCCACTGATTATACTTGTATGATACTTACATTATGTATGTTTTTAAGATATGTTTTTTGGTGAATTAGTATCAAAATGTAGAGCAAAAATGTGCAAAGGTAACCTTTTGCTTTAACTACTTTCAGCTTATAGGATTGTATTCAGTTTTTTACTAAATGATAAAAAAATATAATTGTGAAATGTTCTTGAGGATGAATTAGTTATTTTTCCCTATCATTTTTGGTTTCTTTTTCTGTAGCACTAGAGAGACAAATTTTAGTCTCACAAAAATTTGAAGGTGAGATTGAAAACCTGTAGTGGTATTGATATTGTAATAACTCTTAACCCTTTTCTCTACTTTGACAAAGATTAATAAACATTGGATATGATACATCTTAACATATCAGATTTAACCTTAATGTACTTGTTCCATAACCCTTAACTTTACTGTACCCATTAATAAGTAACGTAATTACTCCCTGTAGAAGTATACTAAAAATGTAAGGTTATTATTGTTCCGTTAACTAAGGACTTCACATTTTTTTCTGTATTACTAATTTGAGGGGGATTTGGTAGTCAAGTGGTTTGACGCTTGCTCTGTCATTGTGTGGTGATGTTTCGATTCCCCACTTGTACATGACAAAGACTACGGTCACCTGTCCATCCTTGTGATTTTCTCCAGGTCCTCCTGTTTCCTGTTAAGCCCCCCCTCCCCCCTTTATGCGCAAGCGAATTATTGAAATAAAATTGAACTATATGTTAGTACTGAATTTACCGAGTTTGTGTTGAGTGAACTAAACCATGTTAGATTTGAATTTCTTCTTAGGCTTCTTGTCTATCCAAAATTATTTTGTCTGTCATGTAAGTAAGCTTATATTTGGTAGCAGTACATGAGTGTCAATAAGTACTGGAATTGCCCACAAGGGTATTGTTTTAATGTCATACATAACTGAATGGATATATTTGAATTTATTTATATCGCAGAATATAATACTATAAATCAACTCTGTAGACTTTCAGATATATTTACAGTTATATGGCAACTCCTACCAGACTATTTTACTGGAAGTTATGGTTCAGTTATAACTATACTATTCAAAAAAAGTAGGGGATATTTGATTTTGGGGGCATAATACTAAAATATGCAAATGACTACGAAAAAAGTCACTATAGAACCTAACAGAAGAAACATTTCCAGTTACATGTGACGCCCAAACGCACCAATAGCTACCGCATGGAATGCAGGTGATGCTTGGGATCATCATGGGGGTCCAACCCAAGATTTGCACCACTCTGACTTTGAATGTTACAGTCATTGTGGCATTGAATTCCAGGGTGGAAACATCAGTTTAATTGTTTTAGTGACCAGAAAACAAATTTTGATATGCGTCGGCTTACCCAAAATGAAAGGTTACGTGCCCTTGGCATGCTACAGATCGGCACAACACAGGCGGTTGTGGCGCGGACGATGAATGTTTCTCAGTCTGTCATAAGCAGGCTATGGTCCAGATACCGTGATACACAATCTGTACAGGACAGACCACGCTCAGGTCGACCAAGGGCGACAACTCAAGCCCAGGATCGATTTATCCGTACCTTGGCCTTGAGAAATCGTGTCATCACAGCAAATCAGATCAGCGCTCGTCTTCAAACAGACACTGGTGTGAGAGTGAGTGGCCAGACGATTCGGAATCGACTGCATAGGGGTCACCTTCGCGCCCGACGTCCTCGCGTGATCCCTTGTTTGAGAGATCATCACATTCAGGCAAGACGTCGTTGGTGTAGGGATCGTCAACACTGGGATAATCGACGCTGGAGCAATGTGATGTTTTCAGATGAGTCAAGGTTCACTGTTGATTTTTTGGACAGACGTAGGAGGGTGTGGCGTCGTCGAAACGAGCGCTTCCAAGATGGTAACGTCATCAGACATGATCGATTTGGGGGTGGTTCTGTTATGGTGTGGGGAGGCATCACTGTTGCTGGAAGAACGGCTTTACATGTTGTTGCAGGGCGTGTTACAGGCCAGTACTACCGGGACAACATCTTGGCAGTCCATGTTGTGCCGTTCGCACGACGTCATGGCCGCCGTTTCATCTTCCAGGATGACAACGCAAGATGTCACAGGGCCAGGATCGTTACAGGTTACCTCCAACAACAGAACATCACCACATTACCTTGGCCAGCACTGAGTCCCGACCTCTCCCCCATCGAGCATGTCTGGGACATGCTTGGACAGAGGTTACGTCAACGTCAACAACGTCCTGCCAATGTCCAAGAACTTGCTGCTGCGTTGCAACAGGAATGGGACAATCTGGACCAAAATGACCTTAGACGTCTCATTAGGAGTATGCCACGTCGGATCAATGCTTGTTTGGCAAACAGAGGAGGATTTACCCGTTACTGACTTGGTTGTGATGCTGTGGTAACTTTGCTGTTTGACCCCGGGTATCATTTTACCCTTATAATGGTCAGTCTGTGCCTTACTTACTCTAACGATCATTTGGAATAAATCGATGAATGTGAACTTCATTTCATTTTGTCATTTGTTTCTTCGTCAGTTTCATTAGGTGACTTTAATAACACTTAAAAATCAAATATCTCCTACTTTTTTTGAATAGTATACCATGGCATTTATCTAATTATTATTTTCTGAACATCTGTCACACTGATCACATTTATATTTATTATAATTCATAAGCTGCAATTTTTCTGACAATGCGTTATCATTTTGGTGATAGTTATTTCAGAAATATGAATGTAAAAGGTTGCATTTCAATTTCTGTAGATGGTACTATGACTGGTACTAAAATATACAATATAATTATACAAATTATATGTAGTCTTATGTAGAAAGCTGTATTTGTTTTAGATGTGTACACTTGTAGAAATCATTTTACACCATGTTGTATGTGTGATTCACAAACATTTCTTTTAAAGAGACATTAAATAGATGTATAATTTTGTCAAACAATGATCCAGAATTTCTGTTTGTAATATAACATAACATTTTCTTGTGAATCGAGATAAATACATGCAAACATTATGTAATTCCTCATCTGTATGTTTGTTGCACTGTTTTGTGTTAAAATATGAACAAGATATCAACTGTTTATTTTGATTTGTTGTGAGAGTCTGATTCTCTTGTAAAAGATGTTGAATCAAGAGTTCTACTTGGTCAAATTTTTATTCAATTTTTATGTTTATTTATCATGTTCGTATATATAGCCTAAAAATAAACATAGATCAAGAAAGTAAGATTTATATTTTGGGTTATCAAGGTTAAATAAATTCCTCATTTAAAAAAAAATATTTTTTTTTAGTGTTTATTTTAATGTATATTGTTTTATTGTCTATGCAGGTGATTTAACAGGCAAATTTACATTTGCATCTGATCGTTATGCTGTATTAGAAAGTGCTGGTATGCTGGAAGTTGATGTTCTATTTCACAGACACATTCTGTAAGTTATTTAGATTAGATGTAATAGTAACTAGTACTCGTAAAAGAATGGCTAAACAATTAATATATACAATGTATTGATATGAAAGAAAATATCGGTTTTTAAAACAACTAGATAGGTTTCAATAGCTCAACCCTCTGGCTCTGTGCTGTTCTACTGACAAGGGAAAAGCAGGTTGGAAAATCCAGAGAACTTTCTCAACAACACTGGGATCACATGATTTGTATGCCATTAAAAGATTTTACTATTTTTGTTTATGATAATAGTATGTAAAATTTTAACTACATATTCTGGATATTTTGTACCATAATTAAATAAATTGTATACAATATTTGTTCATTTCAGATCAAGAGGAAAATTAAGTATAATGGTAAATATAATTTTATAACATTGTCTTACAGTAGATTTTATATTTTATTATTTATTTTACTGATATATAGATGTATGTCAGTAAACTCAGTTGTCTTAAATATTGCATTCATTTGTTTTTATAATGGACAAGCTAATTTTATAATTGGGATAATGCCTTTATTGTAATGTATTCTTTGTCCATGTGGTCTAAGGGGACATAATATGGCTTTAGGGTCGATGGTAAAAAGTTATCTCCCCTAACACACTAATTTGACATGTCAATACAGATAAAACCTACAAGATATCTCTTATAACCCCTTGATAACCAAGTCCCTTAACTTTTATGGGTACTACAACATGACAGACCAAAATCCACCACTCGTTTTCAAAGCGTTGAAATATAATTTGAAAGAAGTTTTATATTGTATTATTTTATATTGAACATGTTTTTGATATTGTTTATTTTAGAATGAGACAGTAACATATAAAAATGGAGATATACATTCCGGAGAAACAGAAGGTGTTGAAATGGTGAAAGGAGTTGTATCAGTAGATTTTGAAACTAGAGAAGGCTCAGCTAAACCAGGCAAAGATTATAAATATACCACAGGAACATTGGTATGTTGGGTTTGACCATAACTACTTGGGTATACAAATCAATAGATGTATATGATTGATATGAATGTTCAATAGATGTATATGATTGATATGACTGTTCTATTTTTCCAACATCAATACATTGTTTATCAAGTTTCTAAACAGAATGTCTACAATTGAAGTAGCGTTACTTGAAGATTGATTTTTTAATAATGAAAAGTCTGTCAGTGTGGAAGAATCTGTTTTACATTTATTATATTTTATCTTGACAGATATTTAAAGAAAATGAGTACAAGAGAACACTGCTAATTCCTATTATCAATGATAACCAGTATGAGGCCGATGTGGATTTCTATGTTATATTAAAGAATCCTAAAGGTGGTGGAGGATTAGGAGATCCAAGTGTGTCTAGAGTTACTATTGTTGATGATGATGGTAAGTAGATCTTATAAAACTGTCATACGTTAATATTTACAGTACAAATGTTTTTTACATAACCCAATGTTATTAGTGACACTGAAGTTTGTCAACAGCAATTATGACACAAATTAGCATATTTAATATATGTAATGATTCTTATAGATATAAAAAATTCCTGGTATATTAGGCCATATAACCCAGTATCTACTGTTCCAAATAGATTAATCCATAAAGCAAATAAAAATGATTTTTATAACACACTTGCTCTTTGTATGGGCTTCATTGTAATCATAGCTGACAAGGAAAGTTTCTTATAAGTTTTGCCATAAATATTTAATAAATATTTAATTGCTAATTGGCAGTTGAACGGTTTTAAGACATGCATGCAATTTATTTCTTTCCTCTAATTTCCTTTCATCTAACCTCTTTAATACTAATTTCTTTGTAATATTCACTTGACAGATTTTAGTCATAGTTAATTTATTCTTCCAACTGCCTTTTTTTAGAACCTGGTGAGTTTCTGTTTGAAGAACCACATTATCAAGCAGATATGAAGAAAGGACAGGTAACAGTTAAAGTCATGAGGGAACATGGTTATGATGGTAAAGTTACAATAGAATATTCTACAATGTAAGCATTTTTATCAATTTAGTTTTGATTCAATGTTTGTAATTCATCCATGAACAATATCTACAAATTATGTGTATTTAAAATTCATGAACAACATCTTCAAATAATGTGTATTTGAAATTAGCATATGTCTGGAACTGGAGAGGACTAAATCTGCTTTCTCATTTGGAATGAGGATTAGTACGTACTGGCTAGTTTATACATGTACATCTGAAAAATTTACATGACTGCTTTATTACCGTACATGTTTTGTCACGCTTGTGGATAAAAATGTTGTCATCTGCTGTATTTGATAATAGAGAGCAAGCTAATGTGCATGAAACACAAAAACAGAATAAATCAACCCATAATTTTTGCTGTGCATTTATTGTTGTAATCACAGAATCAGTAGACAAGGTTCATAAACTCAAAGACTGCAGATCCCCATATTTTAGCTGTTCATCTTAAAATAGTATTGGCATTCCAGTTTCTGTCTTTGTTAAGAAGACTCCTGTTTATAAATCATTTTCTGGGGCACAAGAAGAACAGATAGTGACTGACAGTGCTAATTTATCCCATGAGGAAATTGCTTTTTCCAAATTTAAAGTTTTGTAGACCTGTAGAAAAAAACAGGGTTGACTTGGATGAAACCTATAACACAGATGTTACCAATATCATAGGTGACTGGATCAGAAATATCTCTAATATTGAACAGTCTGCAGAGTATTCTGCACTGGTTGCAAATACATAAATTGTGTCAAAAAAGACAAATGATTTATGTGCTTTAAAAAATGCACAAAATGTGACAGCAGTTGGATTAAGGCATTTAGAGAAGATTGGTTGAGAATAAATGGATAGGTTTCATGAATGTCACAAGTGTGACAATGTTAAAATTGAGTAAAATGTGTATTTGTAGTGATGGTACAGCTCATGGTGGAGAGAGATTAAAGCCAGGTGTTGATTATATAGTTGCTAATGGTACAATAAACTTCTCACATTCAGAGACATCAAAAACATTCTCAATACCTGTTAATAAAGATTCCAAGGTATGTAAATTAAGTTGTTTATTATTAGAACCATGTCAATTGATAATAGCTGTTTTTAGTATGAACATTGTGCCATTTGCTGTTTTCAGATTTTTATAGATCTACATTGATAATGCGGACGTATATTGCCATCTTGTATGTGTGTATGTATCTGTGTGTCGCTTACAGGCCGCAATTCTGAAGTGGTCGTCTTGAAACTTTACATACTTATTCCTTATACCCTAAGTATTATCCACATTGTTTTTGGTGCATGCCCGACCCCCAGTGGCAGAGCCATGCCCATTTCTTGTATTTGTTTGTCGTCTGCAGGCTGCATTTCTTAACGTATCATCTTTAAAATTGGAATACTTATACCCTAAGGAACATCCCAATTGTTTGTGGTACATGCCCAACCCCCAGGGACAGAGCCACGCTCATTTTCTTTTTGTGTGTCTGTGTGTCACCTACAGGTCACAATTCTTGAGCGATCGTCTTGAAAAATTTTCATATTTATTCCTTATACCCTAAGGATGATCCCTATTGTTTGTGGTGCAGAGTCACGCCCAATTTTTGCCTTTAGCGCCCGAAGGCCACAATTCTGAATTGATTATCTTGGAACTAGGTATACTTATTCCTTATACCCTAAGGACAGCAACTATTGATGTTGGTCAATAACAGGGTGGTACCTATTTATATTGTTCCATATCCGACCCCCAGGGCCAGAGCCACGCCCGATTTTTGTATTTATTGTCTACAGTCTGCAATTCTGAATGGATTTGTGATTTGTAATGTATTCTTTGCCCATGTGGTCTAAGGGGAGATAATATGACGTTAAGGTCACCAGCGAAGAGTTATCTCCCCTATGACACCAATTTGACGTGTCTATACACATAAAACCCACAAAATAGCCCTTAAACTCATACGATCACCAAGGGGGCATTATGGCTGTTCTCTCTATAATATTTTTAAAAAAGAATAATGCAAAATGAATATATTGAAAATTGCATTCAAATTACTTTATTTTGAGCGAAGTTATCAATGGTTGTAGCTTTGACAAGATGTGTGCAATTGATCATAACCAGCATACTGTCATTTGTGTCTTAGCCTCGCTTCTCAATTTTTTGATTAAAATTATTAAATGGCCAAACTGTTCTAATCTACTTAAAATCGGAGCCAACCGATGGCATCAAGGGTTGATTATGAACTTATGTTTATAAATGTCTAATTAATAATTTACATAACATTAAAGGCCCAAAGAAAGACCTTACATAATGCCTGGTTAACTTTTTCTCCTACTTATTGGGGTAGTCCCATTTTCTTGAGCATAGCTTTTTGTAAATTAGTAACTACAATCTACATACATTAATCTTAATCATTATGATTTGTGTAGTCTATAGTAGTGCATTGTTATTTTTTTCTGAGAATTTCCGGTAGTTCTAACTTCCAAGATGTTTATAAAATTAACATTACACGAAGAATGTCCTACCATAGATATTTGATCAGACAGTATCTTGCCTGCACCTTTCGGAGTAAACATGGAACTATTGAAATGAGTTTGTACATCAGTCACATTCTTTGGGAACACAATAACTCTGCTTCCAATTGAGAAAGAATTTTCAAAGTTGGTGTAGATGTTTGTAAGATGAATGTCTTGTTGGATGAGCATTTTTTGTTTGGCTTAGCTGTGTGATAAGCAATTTTATTTATTATAAGAATATAAATTTGCAAGTAATTGATAACTTTCAACTATTTATTTTAGGATTAAGGTCGGTGACATTAACTTTACTTTCTGTTTGTCTTCATCTTTGTCTTTTCAATTTATTTAAGGGTGCACTTAACTTTATAATTGCTTTACGCAATCCCAGTCTGGGTGCGAAGATTGGTGAAAGAAGTGCTACTGTGTGTCATATAAATAAAGGTTTGGATTTTGATTTTATAATGAATATATTGAAATGTTGTAAATCATTTGGCAACAAATTATAGAGTACCATTTAACATGGCCTATCTTATAATTTGAGTTTTTGGGGGCTGTCATGAAAAAAATACTGCCGTATTAAACATGTTAATTAATAATGATATAATTGTTATTTACAGATGAATTAATTGAAAGATTGGCAGAAGTTTTAGAAGATGAAGAGGAGAAGGAGGTTACATGGGGTTCTCAATTTGCTAAGTTAGTTTATAATTTAGATTAAAATATAATTTGATTTCATCATACATAGCCATAGCAAACATGGTGATTCATGTTCCCTAATGTTTTATGATTGTCACTACTGGTAGAATTATTAGAATTTGAACTGTTCCCCATCGGGACATATAACTTCAGGTTTCACACTATGTTGTTTGAAATTTTAAATGTTCTTTGTTTTAAGTTAAAGATATTATGCTTATTTATTGTTATTTTAGTGCTATGACGGTAGGAGGTGATACCGATAGTGAAGGAAATGAAGTTGATCCTAAATGGTCTCACTACCTCATGCATTTCTTTACTTTTTTCTGGAAGCTCCTTTGTGCACTTATACCACCAACGTAAGTAGTATACTGTTGAATATAATTCTGCTGTGTTACAAGTCTGTACTCAGAAGACTGTGAAAGATAGACTGTTGCTTAAAATTTAATTTATATTTTTTACAATGATATAAAATGAGTTCATTTTATTTTTTATTCTTGACAATCATTATATGAATTACCCTGTTTTGGAAAGGAACAACCCAGTTTAAATCGCAAAAATGTTATATATATATACAATCTGCCAACTGTCAAATTAACTGACCTGTTGGTTGGCTATTTACATGAGTGGAGTACTTTATAAATGAGAGTTGTCAATCCAGTAGCTGTTATATATCTATTTAATATATAATGTTATTTTTTGTTAAATAGGAATTGTCTTGGAGCTTGGCCGACGTTTGTTTTTTCGTTAACAGTTATTGCTGTTTTAACTGCTTTTGTTGAACAGGTAATGAATTCAATTAATTTTAGTTTTGTCTATATATTTGTTATTTGTAACTTTAGGAGGATTTTTTTGACAAAAGAAATACCTAAAATTTGGAAAAAATGTTTTTTGTAATATGGAAGAAAATTAGCATGATTATAAATTTATAAAATGATAATTTTGTTATATTTTACAGTTAGGTCATTTGATAGGTTGTGTTATAGGATTAAGAACAAGTGTTACTGGTATAACTATAATAGCTTTAGGCACTAGCGTACCTGATACGTTTGCCAGTCGAACAGCTGCTAAGCAAGATACTCACGCTGATGCAGCTATTGGAAATGTTACAGGTAATGTCACATCAGCCTTATTAATAAATTTCAAAGAAGTATTAAGCAATGGCCATACCAGTAAAAGTTTTAATCATAATTTGACAAACTAGGAAGCAGATGTCCTAAAATGTTCAGTTTTATAGATCTGATTAATATAAGTCATATTATCGTTATGATGCTGGATGCTGGCCAGAAAGAAATTTTCTTCAGTCACCCTAAAAAAAGTCATTCACAGTCCTTTTAATTTTTGGAAACGGGTCTCATCCAAGGGTTACAGATCTGGCCAATAATTTTTCAGGATCTGCTTCAAAACGGCACAGATTGTCACTGGATGTCAGGAATCTGACACGTTTCTGATCTACAGTCAAGAGCTTTGGCACCAATCTTGCAGAAATCTTTTTCATTCCTAACTCGGTGATAAAGTGCTCAACCCTCTCATGAGAGATACCCACAACACTGCCCATCACCATGTCATGCACCAGGGTAATGTTTTCTTGAATGGTTGCCGGTCATCGTCAAGACGCTCTCTGCCATGCTTAAATTCCGCAGTCCACTTCTTTACTCTGGAAAAGGAAGGGAACCATCCCATAAAATGGAGACCTTGTCGGCATGTATCTGCGTTAGGGTTAGTCCTTTGAGTTGCGGTGGAGGGGTGGATGGCTGAATGGTTAGTGCGTGCGCATTATCATAAGGTCTGTCATTGAGTCAACTGGTGTGGTTTCGATTCCCCGGTTGTATGTGACAAGGAGTGGGTTTTCTCCGGGTCCTCTGGTTTCCTCTCATTGCTAAAGACCCCTAATGACCTAGTTTGTGTCTAGTGGACATTAAACCCCATTTCTAAACCTGTCTCTTCAGTTGCGATACTTGATGACTGCCCTGTAGCCAGTTTTGTCCATTTCTGGTGATTTCACTTGGTAGGTTCACAAGATGATTTGGTACAAAGACAATAATACCACTACAGTTTCAATTCTTATGTCTTTGATTCATTCAATAATTGTAGTTGTTGGTGGCAAAAATTTGTTTCAACCCAATTGATCTATCCGTTTCAGGCTTATAACTTTTCAGTCAGCCCTCATATTTTTATTTATTTCAGGTAGTAACAGTGTCAATGTATTTCTTGGATTAGGTTTACCGTGGGTTATTGCTACTGTATATGCAGCAATTTCAGGTACAGAATATCAGGTCAAGACCACCAATTTAACAGAGAGTGTCATCATTTTCAGTACCTGTGGTACAATTTGTATCATATTACTACTTCTAAGAAGAGTGGTAATTATATTTTCATTACATATAAAATAATTTATTGTCTACAGGTTTATAATGAAAATAATGTCCCAATTTCATTGTGGTGAATTGTATTTTGAACTTTGAGATTAAAATTCTAAAAAAAAACACCAAAAAAACTGTGGTGGAGTGTTTAATTGAACTCAATCTATGTCCACTATAATTAGGTAGCAGAATTGGGATTCCTGATACTATTTGTTATAAATTGTATACAATGTACACTATGACCAATAAAACATAGATTGTCTAACTGTGTTCCTTCCAAAACCTGTCCGAGTGTACATGACGTTGACATAGGGGAAAACAGTGTATTATTAATAAATAGCTCCATAAGACTTATGGCAACTTTCTTCTTATCTACCCTAATTTGAATATGCTATAGCCGATACTGATTGGTATACAACAACTGAATTACTATTAAAACTGTAGCAACTCTAACTTTTTATTTCTATATTTGTTTTTGTAGTTTGTTGGTGGAGAATTAGGAGGAAAGGATAAAATTGTGAAGTATGCTAGTAGTATCTTTTTGATTGGACTGTGGGTAATTTATATCTTGTTAGCCAGTCTTGTGGCATATGATTATAACATTATTCCCTTGCCAAAATAGGTAACTGTTTATTGAAGGTAAATTGAATAACTGAAGTTAAACTTTTCATGAATAGATCCAGTTACAATTTAACAATTAGTAACAATAAAAGAAGAGAATTCTTTTTTATACCATATCCAAAGTTATGTAGAGATATTTGATGATTAGAAGAATGTGTTTTGCATCCAGTGAATATATTGATCAAGTGAAACAACTATTTTTCAATCAAGCTCTGTTGAGAGAAACAGGAACTTTTGAAAAATGTAATCTTACTCAATAAGATAAGGACAGAGAAAAGACAATGAGATGAACATTGTGGATATGGAACTTTATGAGAAATGTGGTGAGGAACAATAAACTGTGTTATTGTACTATTGTAGACAATCCATTTATTTTGAGAATTAAAATACTCAAACGGAATGAAAGTTAGAGACAAAGATATATAGAATCATGCTCCCAGAGTGTGTGATGTAATTAATATAAATACAGTAGCAATAATAGATATTATTATTTATCAATTCATTGTGCTATATTGTGAATCTTCTATATCAGATTATGAACTGTACTAAAATGGAATAACTATAAGATTAACATAGTGTGTAATATCTGCGTATCTTGTCAATATCAACTGGAGTGACTTAAATTGTTTGGATTATGTAGGTGATATTTAAAACAGTATTCAGAAGTATGAAAAAACACAAGAAGTGAACCTGTAAGAAAAAATGAATTAAAAAGGGATACAAGTTCAATGAATTATCTACATTTTATATTCTCTTTGTTGCCAAATTTTTGTTTAATGTTGTTATTATGTTAATTATTGAGTTAGATATTGTTGTTATTTGTAGTTAACTATATATTTACCAAATTTACAACTTTTCACTCCTGTTGATTGATAGCTACGGGTGGTGAAAGTTAAGTTAAATATCTTGATCGCAACTTAAGTTAAGTCTTATTATGATGTTACAGACATTTTTCCTATGTAGGTGTTTGATTAATTCTTTTTTATTAGCTTTAACATTATTTACTTATTCAAGTTATTGTGGGATCAAAAGAAAGTATTAAAACAGATATTTACTAGTAAACACATTTTTATTAGGGTCCAAAGCTTATTGATCAAATGTTCAAATGAAATAAGAAAAAAACAGAATAACAACTTTATGTACTGGTATGTACTGTCTTCAGTATATATTTTGTGTTCTTTGACTGATTAACTTTACTAAGGAAAAATGTTTTCATGTAAATAAAGAAACTGTCCCTTTTTGAAAAGATTAAAACAAAATTATTTTGATTATATATTTCATAATTTTAGTCAATAGCCTAAGTAAATATTATCAAATAACTTTCATTATGTTCATCATCCCTGTGAATTAAGTAATAGTATTTTGCAATTTTGTGTAGACATTTTTCTTATTCAAAAGAAAGGTCTAGATTGTTATTTTTATGTTGATGTAAAATGTCCCCATCCCACCCACCTCCCATTGTTATTTTATGAGTTCTTTAAATTTAATTTATTTATTTATTTTGACTGTGATAAGATGTTAGTCCTTCTTTTGATTTTATTACAATAATAGACATTTTAAGCAGATATTATTTACCCACCCACCTACTAATTAAATAGCATAACTTTTCATTACCCAAATTAATTAATAAAGAGAAGATTTCTGAAATAACCAAGAACATAGAATTATTTCCCTGTTGTATTGATATTTTTATACTTTTTGGACACTCATTTGTATTTAAATTCACCAATATCACTGTCTGACTGTGTTTAAAATCAAAGTCAAATTGTATACATATCAGTGAATGTCGGATCAGCTTATATCTCTACTGATTTATATTAATTCAACCCATATTATTATATTCATTGCTTTAAAATGGTAATATTCAAGCAGTAGTTTAATTAGTATTTGTTACATCCCAGTAGAGAGATTTAAAAATTTATGATCTCAAGCATGTGGTTTAATTCATCTATTTAAATTATGAAATGAACAATACACAATTGATAATAGTCGACCTTGTGTTACTGTTTTGTTCACATTTACTAAATATGTAGAAAATTAGAAATATAATGCTTATTAATGAAGTGACCATCTTGTTTTATGGAAACAGAAACTTATTTTTGAAAATATATTTGTTTGGCTAATCTGCAGATTAAACCATTTTCTATAAATATCCATGACATTGTAAATACAATCATTTAATTATGTTTCTGTTAGGCGTCATTTATGACAGTATTGCAATTGTATATATAGAGAGTGAAACCAATACCTATATTCTACCATCACATTCCTATGCATGATCTGAAACCTTGTAGCGACTAATGATAATCTTATCAACATATCAAAACCGGTGTGTCACCGTTCTTGCTATAATAGTATTAATAATTAAAAAATACAACAAGGAAAATGAATACAGGTATATTGAAACTTTCATTCAAATTTCTTATTTTGAGCTGTTATGAATGTTTGAAATTTTGACAAGATAGGCCCTATAGCTGAAAAAATCCTGTTTGTCAAGTTCCATTGCCACGATGATAAACACATTCTTGATTTTCAGATATTGCACTAATTGCAGACATTGTCTAATCCACTAAATATCTCAGACATATGATGCTCTTGTGAGTTGATTATGTGCTTGTCATGTGAATAAATATCATTTGAATAAAGATTTAAATAATGGCTTTTGAAGCCAGAAAAAAGATCTAGAATAGGCAGATTTAGTCTTACATAATGTATCTGTAATCTTAACTCAAGAACTCATTTCTTGAACATCTTCAAATTCTTTATACATTTGGTTAACAATTCATACCGGTTTTATATGTGAATAAGATTATCAACAGAGGATTTTCCTATTATTTCACACATTTCATTAGTTGATATTTGCAAAGAATAATGAAATGTTTGAAGGAGGTTGTTTGTGTTTATTTTTTTATTTATTGATGAAATGTAGACACTATTTAGAGAAATGCTGACCAATAATGGAGAAACAGGTGGTTTCATCTTTAAGACGTCTCTTTCTGTCTCATTATAAAGTTTGTCAATTTTACAAATAAAGTTTGCAGTTATACCCTCTATCAGTTTTAACCGTTTTTTTTCTTGCTTTGCTTTGGAGAATAATTTTAAGTGAATGTTCTCTATATAAAGGACAATAATCTGTCCAGATTATTGGCTGCTGAATGATAAATATATGTTCTCAATGGCCAAATGAGTTATCCATGGGAATTTAGGCAATATTTGGAGAAAAATATTCTCCAAGAAAATGCAATATTTCTGTGACTTCCCTCTCTCAACCTATATAATAAGGATGATTCAGCTGATAGCTAAGATTAGAATTGTAAATAATTTTAACAGAAAATCAAATTCAAAATAATAAATAATTCTAACAGAAAATCAAATTCAAAATTGCAAAATTTTTCGGGGACGTATTGATTTGAATAATAAATAACGGGTTATTTAGAAAGTTTTAGAAGGGCTTCCAAAGAAAGGCATAAAGTATGAGTTATCAACAAGGAAATAAAATTTAAGCAATTTTAGGGCACAATGTGCTCAAAACTAGACTTCCATATCATTCATAGTGTAAGTCTTAACTGTTAAAATTTGCTCTTCTTGCTGGTTCTTTTCGTTTCATTAGATACAAATATTTTGATCTTCAGGACTTGCCCGTGAGATGAGCTGACGTCTTTTATCTACGAGGGGCCTGTTTCACCAAATTTTAACTAAGATTAAGATAAAATCCAAATTTTAGTAATTTGATTGGAAAATATTAGATTGATTTTAGTGCTTAGCCATTCAAAATTGAAGTATCTACTAAAATTTGGATTTTATCTTAAGTTAAAATTTCGTGAAACAAGCCCCAGAGCTTTAGCAATCGGGTCCAAAACAGTTGGATCTGGATCTTTTACTCGTTTACTGAACCAATATCTAACCTTCTTCAAGTCATCAATAGACTGTGCCCTCTGGTTACGTTTCTCGCCTTTATTTCTTCTATATTTGTAATAACTCCTATAGAAATCGGCCTCTTCGTTGGCTTTCTCAGGGTAGCATTGTTACAACCCCTATTGTAATAACAACGCCTAATATACCATCGCTTATTGTCCATCTAATACATACTTTTTAAAGTCGTGTAACAAATCAAGTCTAGAAAACACACCATCACCATTAATTCTTTTAGTTGTTTTACCATTGTATTCTCTAGAAAAGAAGCGTGTCTTCTATTTTATGTTAAAATATCTCATTGCCACTAAGAAAAGTTATTACTCTCGCCAAACGGTGGGATACTAAAATTTCATTAATATGCCAACAACGGAAATTATTCCCTGGTAGATTAGCGGCCCGGAAGTCTTTATCCCCGGCTCGGGGGAGGGGTGGGGGCATAAGCGTACGGGCCGATTTTCCCTGGGCTGTATCATTTTTGCACGAAAAATGAACCTACATAACCTACATGACCTTAAACACTGTGTATAAATTTAAAGTCAATCGGATATTAACTTTGACCTCTAAAGCGTCCACAAGATTTTTTGAAGTGATCAAGAGCCATAACTCTGGCAGTAATTATCGGAAATCGTTGAAAATCGATAGGCTTCTTCGTCTCATGACCTTAAACACTGTGTATAAATTTAAAGTCAATCGGATATTAACATTGACCTCTAGAGCGTCCACAAGATTTTTTGAAGTGATCAAGGGCCATAACCCTGGCAGTAATTATCGGAAATCGCTGAAAATCAATAGGATTCTTCATCTTATGACCTTAAACACTGTGTATAAATTTAAAGTCAATCTGATATTAACTTTGGACCTCTAGAGCGTCCACAAGAATTTTTTGAAGTGATCAAGGGCCATAACTCTGGCAGTAATTATCGGAAATCGCTGAAAATCAATAGGATTCCTCATCTCATGACCTTAAACAGTGTGTACAAATTTAAAGTCAATCGGATATTAACTTTGACCTCTAAAGAGTCCACAAGATAGCCATTGTCGGATTAAGGCTCTGCTGGCCCCAATGAACCTTTTGATAAATGGAAGAAAGTTAAATTTAACATAATTTTTTTACTTCATTTTTTTTTTTTTTTCTTTTTTTGTGGTCTGGATTTTTGGCTGACCCTAAGGCACGTGCCTTATTTGCCTAATAATGGTTAATCCGGCACTGCAGATAGCGCTCGATTAACAATCAGCGAAATTCGCTAATAAAATGTTTACATGGACTGATCTCATCATCACACCTTATTAATAATTATCGTACATATACACACCATTCTAGTGATTGTAACAACAATCTGAATCGAAATCGGTCTATGTACAAAATGGTTATCTGACTGTGACGAGGGATTTTTGTTGAGGGGGTCATATATCATCGGTAATATACATAGTTCATTCAGGCAGGATAATTGGAGACAGATTCAAAAGAAACGGCATTTACGATTCTTGCGATTAGCAAAATTATCGATAATTCTATCAATGTCATTTTCAAGCGGAATTTTTCACATCCGAATCGTATACGTGATACGTTGCGCCAATATAGTTTTAGAGTTTTGGCAGGTTTTCGCGTCGGGTACGTATGCGTCGCTGAGCTGAGCTTAGTTCTATTATAGCATGATGACAGTGTCTAGCCTATACTTTCCAAGACGCTTGACCGTCGCTGAGTTATTAAAAAAAAATTGGTTTCACTAATTAATCATTTCAGTAAGTTTATACCCCTTTACCACAGAATAAAATCATTTACAGATTTTCAAGGTCCCACCCCACTTAATTTATCACGTAGATCAACCAGGAAAAGTATGAAAATTCTGAGAAAAACCATAAAAAATAATGATTAAATTCCAGTCTTTATCATTGTTAAAATCACATTAAATATACACCTTCGTGTTCTAGGATACACATAGATTCATAAAAAATGCTGTGATATAACATTTCAACGTCTAAAGTAGCAAAAAAGACGGTAAAAAGCCGACAATGTTATACGGAACTTTTCCGTATGAAAGCTGTTCGATACGTGCTGACGTATCCGTGTGCCGTATCACGTATGAGAAATACACACACAATAATGGCGTCACATGCACAGTCCATACGCATACGCGATGCGGACCAGGAATTTACGCTTGCCAAAAGTCTCTAATCTTTCGCTTTCGTCCCTTCCCAGTCACCGTCTGCAATCGAATCAGGCCAATATTGCAGGCTATGTATAGCGAAAATCAATCTTTTATCGGTATAAAATTATATCGGAAATTACGAAAATCCACTTGACAAGAGAACAAAGAGCAAAATGCGAATTGCATGCAGTTTATAATCAAATTCCACACCGGTCAAGACAATGAATCAGCTGGTAGAAAAAGCCTCAGTCACAGCCGCGATATTAAAATCACAAAACAACCGTGGTAAAAGCTCGAAAAATGACGGCAAGTAGCGCCTACGAATTTTCTGAAACTGCTGTTTGAGTTTGAGAAATAGACACCCTGAATCAAAATCAGATTGTGTGATTTTCTGAAACCCTGATCTCCGATTTGTAATTGCATCACTGCACCCAATGGTCAGTCGAAGTGCCGGATTTCGTGTACCTCATTTTGCGTTTTGGAATAATTTTCTTATTTTTCCTTTTATATCCACTCAAGTTTTATTTTGTCCATCATTTGACCACTGCATGAAAAATTTGATGATTGCCTGAAATAGATTATTTTGCTCGAGAGGGGAGGGGGGGGGGGGGCTCGTACACCTATGGGGAGGGGTCAGAAAAGTTTTTTTTAGCACATCTTCCACTTTTACTTTCGATCAGACACTAGTCTAAATGCTAATGAAAAGAATCACGCTCGACGCATAGGGCAAAAAACCGATAAATTTTGTGTTATGTTGTATTTGGTACCACAAATTCTTTCTATATCGTTCTAACGTAGTAGTTATCAATGTTTTGAAAGTTGACCAACCTGTCACAAAAGGTGTAAACTCTATGTTCATTGCTAGAGACTCCGAAAGGGTGCTTCTAATGAAAGCTAGGAATGTATGTGTAGGCAAGTTTAACATTAAAACGGGTTAAAATCGTATAAATTTTATGTGTCTTATTGACTATACTACAGAATGAAAAATATTTGGTTCGTTTAGAAGCTTTATAAGGGCCGACGAAAGACACAAAATGAGTAGTCAAACTGCGCTCGAAACTGCAGAATTTATACTCGGGGTCAACTCCTCCTGTCCTCCGCAGATCCGATATGGTGGATCACTTCTGCTCGACTATACGGCCTTTCATTTGGTGATGCATACCAGGCGATACGTTTCAAGTCAGTAGCTTGAAGCGTATATATGGTATTAGTGTCAGTGGCCTGTGGCACGAAGTAACAGTATATTGTCGCATACATAATATATTATGTCAACGCTTGGGCGATATAATATATTATGTCAACGCTTGGAACTAGGATGGAGGTGACTAGGCATGAACTTGCAACGATAGATTTAATTGGCGCTTTGATAACCAATGAATGCTTTGGAGACATATTTTGGCGGTATTTTCCATCATGGAATCGGTAAGTTTCGATTGTTTTTTTCTTTTCTGTTTTTTCTCTCTTTTCTGTGTCCTAACCCTAACCCTAACCCTAATCCGAAAGAAAAGTGCCCTTTTTTGAAATTCTGACATCACAGGTGCCCTTTTTCTGATAAGGATGCCCTCTTTTATTTACAGGGGCACTTTCTATTGTTAAGGGGGTGGACCGGTCCCCATGGTCCAACCCCTGGATCCGCTCTGATGACGCGTACATTCCACTGAGTCTACAGGTCTAATATGCTAACACGCTTGGAGCGTCAACACAATATATTATGTCGCCCAAGCGTTGACATAATATATTATGTATGCGACAATATACTGTTACTTCGTGCCACAAGCCACTGACACTAATACCATATATACGCTTCAAGCTACTGAAGGGTGTGCATACGGCAGCTACACGTCCACTGAGATGCCATAAAAATATCTTGACCCCACCCACACACACACCCACACCCACACACCCACACATACACACACCCACACCCACCCACACACACGACCACACACATACCACCACCACCGCCGCCAAGCCGATTTTTGCTTA